TCCGAAATTTCTTCAATTTTCCTAGAAACCCCACCTCGTTTTTCTAAAAATACCAGCATGTCGAGGGGGGAGAGAAAAAGGCGTATATGAAATTAACGCACGTACGACCTCCTCATTCCAATGACCATATACGGACCCCCCCCCGTTGCAAACCCCTAGCGTAAAATGCGCCCTTTCTTGGGAACGAGTTACCATCGGTAACGGGGATATAAGAAGAGTACCCATTTAAACCACACAAATCGTAAATATATATCAATGAATGTGAGATAGGAGCAATGGCAGATGCGATTTTCTAAGCAGTTGCAGCCAGTCCTTCTGAAGTTTTCCAATGAGATCCCCAACAGTGAATATGTGGGAAGGAGGTGATCCACATCTCCGAGCTGATCCTCACCTTAATTACTTAACACGAAATTCAACTTCCTAGTCTCAAAGATCCCTTGCATATGGACGATAATTTGAGTGATAAAAAGGCAAAAACACACCGTAATATTCAATCTACCTAGGCACCAATATGGTATGCACAGATTTGGTGCATGTTCCCTGCCTGAGCATCCTTGCACTTGCTGTTTTCCTTCCTGAATCATTCTTCACATTCGAACTGCCTACTGTTTTTTCATCATTTTGTTCAAAGTGCAATCCACGAGCATATGTGCTGCGAGCGTTTTTTCCGGAAAGCCGTGTACAATGGCTGAAGCCGACGGCATTGATTCACTGACGTGGTCTGTGCTCGACTCTGATCCCCACGATTTACATTCGATAAGCTGTTCAATTCCCCCTTTTGTTCCTCCTTTCGTATTCCTATTCCAAATTCGCGATGTCCTATTATAACAACAACAACAGTAACGACGAAGAAGATTCTGTAGAAACGGAGGACGAACAGTCTGATATGGTGGCGATGAAACTCCGAGACGTGCCGAATCGACTCGTTATCTCACCCGACGAGCCATCGGGTAACCTCATGCATTTGCTCTTACAAAAGATTCACAGCCACAGAGCCGCCACCCCTGGCGAAGGGCTGTAGTGAGGAGACAATTTTGAGTTTGAGTTATAGAAGCGTTGGCTAGCTGGCATAAAGACAGAGGGCAAAAAATATATTGCCTCAGATGGGTTTTTATGATTGAAAGACGGTGCAATTGATGATTCAGGCATGGACTGCTTCGCCGACGATCGGGATGCGCTCAACGATTTCGCCAAATACTACAACAATGCTCATCTCAGTGACGTGAACATCATTGTCGGCGACGATACGTGAGTACTTTTCTCTGTCCACCTTAGACTGACAGGAAATTTGGGTTGGTCTTATTGGAACTACAAGCAAGTCCCCTTTAAAATCGCTTCAACTAAATGAGAAGGGGCTGTAGGAATGGTATAAACCCGTAACAGAATTTTTGAATGCATCATCCAAAGTGCACGACTGTCATCAGTATTTTCTTTAGCCAAAGCTCAGTTCTGTCGGAATACCTGGCCTTGACACACTTGAAAGAAATCTGGCTCGAAGTCGATCCTTCGAGGCTGTACGTAAATGTGAACCTATGAATTAATTGTCTGAGGCCACTAGAGCAGTTCTCTGTGCTTCTTTTAATCTAGAATACTACGTCGACATCCTAGAACCAAGTGACTATCATATCTGATGAAGGGAGTATCACAGGACATCGACCGACCTGGTT